TCAGACATAACCAAATTAAAAAAAAAAAAAAGGATGAAACAAACAAATCTACAATCAATAAACGAAAAAAATAACTACTGAATGCCTCGAAGACAGCAGGCAATATCAAATCATTTACAAAAACAGGAGAAGATGTTTCCAGTAGGCATCCAAAATAAAACACTAGATGACTTTCCAGTAGAAGAAAAGGCACTACAACTACCTGATAGGGAATTCAAATCTCTAATACTCAGAATTATCCAGGAGTTGAAGCAAAAAGCAGACAAAAATGAGGAAAAAATAGACAAATTCATGGAAAAGGCAGACAAATTCATGGAAAATACAGACAAAAAAAATGGAAGAATTCAGGAAAATAATGCAGGAACAAAATGTCAAAATAAATTCACAACTGGAAGTTATACAAAAACAACAATTAGAAATCCAAAAGATAAATAACAAGATTTCAGAAATGGACAGTGTCATAGAAGGGCTGAGGAGGAGATTTGAAACGGTGGAAGACAGGATCAGCAGAATTGAAAACAAACACTTAAATACACCTCTATTTGAGGAAAACTCAGAAAAAAAAAACAAAGAAAAATGAAGAAACCCTGAGCATTATGTGGGATACAATCAGAAGCAAAAATTTGTGAGTGATCAGTTCCAGAGCAGGGGGAGAAAACTGAAAACACAGAGAGGATCATTGAAGAACTGCCGACAGAAATCTTCCCCAATATCATGAAAGATGAAAAGCCGGCCATCCAAGAAGCTCAACGAACCCCATATAGGATAGACCCCAAAAGAAAATCCCCAAGGCATATCATAATCACACGCGCCAAAACCAAAGAATCCTGAGAGCAGCTCATGAAAAACAAGAAGTCACATACGGAGAAGAAATAATAAGATTAAGCTCAGATTATTCAGCAGAAACCATGTAGGCAAGAAGAGAATGGGATGACATATATAAAACCTTGAAAGAAAAAAAAAAGCCTGCCAAGAATAATATATCCTGCAAAACTCTGGTTCCAGTATGATGGTGAAATTAGGACATTTCCAGATAAACAGAAATTAAGGGAATATGTAAAACCAAACCAAATTTACAAGAGTTATTAAAGATGGTCCTTTGATCTGAAACAAACAACTTCAACTCACAGGCTGAATCTAAGACACAGGATCGTACCAGCCAGATACCAATCTAGGAAATGAACTCTCATGGACTATCCAAAACCAAAAGAAATACAACAGGGAATCAGAGCAGTTAATCTGTAAATGACAACAACATCAGAACAATAAAAGAGGGAATAAACGGTGTAGGTATAGAACCTTCTAATGGAAAGGAAGGCAAGGCGATACCAAGTAATAATAGACTGCTTCAAACTTAGAAAGATGAGGGTAAATTTCACGGTAACCACAAAGAAAGATAACAAACATACTCATAAAAATAAAGCGGAAAAACATAAAGTCTCCCTAAAAACAAAACCTACAAAAACAAAAGAAATGAAAAAAAAAAAACCCCACAAACAAAAGGAATTCAGCACAGGAGAGTAAGAAGAACAAAGAAAACTTCAGCACCACAAAAAAAAAGCACTGCAAAATGACAGCAATAAACTCACATCTATCAATAATTACCAAAAAGATGGAAACAACATAGATGCCCAACAACAGATGAATGGATAAACAAACTATGGTACATACACACAATGGAGTACTACACAACGGTAAAGAACAATGATGAATCTGTGACACATCTAATAACATGGATGAAACTGGAGGACATTATTCTGAGTGAAATAAGTCAATAACAAAAGGACAAATATTGTATGAGACCTCTATTGTAAAAACCCATGAAAAAGTTTACACACAAAAAGTAACAATCTTTGTTGGTTACCAGGGATGGGAGGGGTGGCGGGAAATACTAAATAGGCAATAGATAAGTGGTAGCTTGGGTGAACGGTGAGACAGTACACAATACTGGGGAAACCAGCATAAATTGTACAAGGAAAGGTCATGGAAGCTCCATAGACACATCCAAACTCCCTGAGGAACTGAATTGCTGGGCAGGGGGCTGTGGGGTCCATGGTCTCGGGGAACATCTAGCTCAACTGGCATAACACAGTTTATAAATATAATGTTCTACATTCTACCTCGGTGAGTAGTATCTGGAGTCTCAAAAGCCTATGGGTAGCCATCTAAGATACTCCACTGGTCTCACCCCTTCGGGAGCAAGGGAGAATGAAGAGAACAGGATACAAGGAAAAGATTAGTCCAAAGGACTAATAGACCACAGCTACCAAGGCTTCCACCAGACTGAGTCCAGTCCAGTCCAGCTCGATGGTGACCAGCTACCACTACTGACTGCTCTGACCGGGATCACAACAGAGGGTTCTGGACAGAGCTGGAGAAGGATGTAGAACAAAATTTCTAACACACACAAAAGAAGACCAGATTTACTGGCCTGAAAGAGACTGGAGAAACCCTGAGAGTATGGCCTCCAGACACTCTTTTAGCTCAGTGTTGAAGCCACTTCTGAGGTTTTCCATTCAGCCGGGGATTGGACAGCCCCATAAAAGAAAATGGGACTAATGAGGCACAGCAGTCCAGGGACAAGGACTAGAAGGCAGAAAGGGGCATAAAGCTGGTGATAGGGAACCCAGGTTTGGGTAAGAACAGTGTTGACATGTAGTGGGGTTGTTAACCATTGTTATAGGGCAACATGTGTACTGTTTAATGAGGAACTATTTTGTTCTGTAAACTTTCATCTAAAGTGAGAATAGCAGCACAACTGGAAGAATGTAATAGATGTTACTGAACTGTGCATGTAGGAATTTTTGAAATGGTGTATCTTTGGCTATGTATATTTTCACCAAAAAAAAAAAAGGACGAGAAGGGAGAGGGTTGACACATCGTAGGGTTGTTGACCAATGTCATAAAAAAATATGTACTGACTGTTTAATGAGAAACTATTTGTTCTGTAAACCTTCACCTAAAGTACAATAAATAAAAAAAGAGAAAAAAAAGTAACTGAAAGCTATATATTAAAGGTTTTTTATTTTTATTTTTTTCCCATGGTAAATACTGCTGAGATGGTGATGGCATTTCCATTGCATTTAGAGAGATTTATCTGTAGAGCTTGTCTTTTTATACCATTGAGTCTTCCCTTTAAAGACAATGCATGGTATGATCTCAATTTTGTAAAGCTACCTTAATGAGACAGTGTTCCTAATTTTGTCACCCTCGCCTCATTTCTTCAAAAATATTTTTTTAAATAAAGAAAAATCTTCAACCCCCCAAAAGAAAGAAATCAAAAGGCACATTGCATTGTCCAAATCTGCTGTAAAAGACCTCTTAAAGTGTTAAAAGGTAAAGATGTCACCTAGAAGACTAAGGTGCGCCTGAAGCAAGCCTTGGTGTTTTCAATCACCTCATATGCATGTGAAAGCTGGACAACGAATAAGGAAGACCGAAGAACAATTGACGCCTTTGAGTTGTGGTGTTGGTGAAGAATACTGAATATACCATGGACTGGCAAAAGAATGAACAAGTCTGTCTTGGAAGAAGTACAACCAGAGTGCTCCTTAAAAGCAAGAATGGTGACACTTTGTTTCACATACTTTGGACATGTTATCAAGAAGGATCAGTCTCTGGAGAAGGACATCATGTTTGAGAGAGTAGACGGTCAGTGAAAAAGAGGAAGACCCTTGTCTTGGTTACCTAGTGCTGCTATAACAGAAATACCACATGTGGATAACTTCAAGAAAGAGAAATTTATTTTCTCACAGTCTAGTAGGCTAGAAGTCCAAATTCAGGGTGTCAGCTCCAGGGGAAGTCTTTCTGTCTCTGTTGGCTCTGGAGGAAGGTCCTTGTCATCAAATCTTCCTTTGGGCTAGAAGCATCTCAGCTGAGAAACCTAAGGTCCAAAGGACGCACTTGGTGGTATGATGTCCCCATGTCTCTCTGCTCATTTCTCTCTTTTATATCTCAAAAGAGATTGGCTGAAGATGCTATCTAATCTTGTGCATTTCACCAATATAACTGCCACTAATCCATCTCATCACGTCATAGTGATAGGATTTACAAGACTTAGGGAAATCACATCAGATGACAAAATGGTAGACAATCATACAAGACTGGGAATCATGACCTAGCCAAGTTGACATATTTTGGGGGGGGGCACAATTCAATCGATGACAAGCCTTAACAAAATGGATTGACACAGTGGCTGCAACACTGGGTTCAAGCATAACGATGATTGTGAGGATAGCACAGGACCAAGCAGTGTTTAGTTCTGTTGTACATAGGGTCGCTATGAGTCAGAAATGACTCAAGGGCACCTAACAACACCAAATGTCTTGATATTACACATTTATGAAAGTAATTTATCATGATGTTTCATTAGATTGGTCATTCTCTGAGTACTAAAATACAGTTTGTTGAAACTTTTGAAATCAAACTGTCAAAGCAAACTTCGAAACACCAACAGTACAATAGTCTAAGGCAGGGAGCCTGTTGACTTGATTCCAGCAACTTTTGCCAAAAGGAAAATAATTACACAATGGTTGCAGTCAAATGAACTAGTAAATCCTAATCATCTAGTAAGGAATTAGAAATTTTTCTTTGCTACTCTTTTATTTACAAATTTTAATAGATATTTTAAAAGAGATTAATCTTAGTTTCTATTTTTTTTCTTCTTTTCATAATATCTTGTTCAAATTTGGTATCAATATTAGTGTTAATTCATATCAGGAAGTTGGAAGCTTACTTTATATTTCAATGCTCTGGAACTGTTTAAATACCATTGCGATTAGCTATTGTTTGAAAGATTTGATAAATTTCCCCATAAATCCCTCTGATAGAATTTCTGTGTTTTTCTTGAGGAGGTGGGGATTATTTACATAGTTTTGTGTTTCTTCTAAGATAATTGGTCGATTTAATGTTTCTATCTAATTTAGGGGTAAGTTTTGTTAAATTATAACTTCAAATATTTGCTAATAATTTTACCTTCATTTTTCTTTTTCTTTTACTAGTTTATTGTTTCAGGGGCCTTGTCAATTGCAGCAGGAAAGAGAGATACAGAATGTCTGGTGAGTAATATTTCGTTTTTTTTTTTTTTTTTTTTTGTACCAAAAGAGGATTGATGATACCTGATGGCCCCATATTTTGTTTTTAAACAAGCAAGAGAGATGTGAGATTCAACTGGTTAAATTGGACTTTCAAAATAGCTCATCAGCCAATTGGCCAGTGATAGAATTTCTGACACAAGTCTTAATATTTTGGCAAGATAGTTGCTGAGAGAATCTTTATGAAGATACAGAGGATTCCTCAGGGGAAATGTGAAATAGAAGCAGTCAAAAGATCCCTGCAACTTGAGGTCCAGCACATGACAATGGCACTGGGTGTAGGTGTGACATAATATTTATTAACTGAAGGATTAGAGTGTATAATAATATTGAATCCTAAAAGGATTTTGATTCAGATTACAATAAAACAAAATTCATACTAAGGTTGTTAAAGAAGAAGAAGCAGTTTTAAAACATAACTTCCATGCTAAGCTGTCTTTCACAAAGCCAATAAAAGGCAAAAAGCCCAGATTTGATCAAATATTTTTCATTTCAAAAGACCATATTTGAATTTTCTTTGCTCAAGTTGAATACTAACCTGTGGTGCATGTTCACATGGCCTTTACAAACCTGGCTCCCTAGCTTCTCACCCACTTAGACCAACTAAACGGTGCCTACTGCTGCAGTCATACCAAACCTCTCACTCTTTCCTGAGCAATTTGAGTTTTTATAAAAGGCCTGAAACCTCTTCCCCTGAGAAGAGAATGTATGGCAGGGAATACACAGGAGAGCAAAATAATATGCAGAAGATATAGAGGCATGAAAGACGAGTAGCGTTTACAGAATGATAAGAAGTCATGCACTGGAAGTATGACGTGGTAGGAGGCGGACACAGTGTATGTCCAACTAAAGTATAAAGGGCATTGTAAGCCCCTCTAGTGAGATTCTTAGGGGAGTCATCAGAGGGATACAAGTTTGGGAATGACAAGCTTATATTTGTGTTCTGGCAAGAGATTAAATTCCTAGGAGGTGCAAATGGTTTGCACTTCACTACTAGCCTAAAGATGGACATTGAAACCCACCCAGTGGGGCCACAGAGAAAAGACTTGGCAATCTGCTTCTGTAAATATTACAATCAGAAAAACCTTATGAAGTCTTCTTAAAATCACACAACGAATCAGCTTAACTAGTAAAAAATGTCTGCCTTGAGCATTATGCTCTTTGAAAAACTATCTCTATGGGATCAAAGTGACAACAGCAACTTCAAAGATTAGGTAGAAACCTTATTGGGCAGAGAGACTATGTTAACGGGGGAGGAACAACTCAGAAAAGAAGGATGAGAATGGTTGCACAACTGCAAGAATATAGTCAATGTCACTGAATTGTACACATACAAAGTGTTGAATTGGTGTATATTTTGCTGTATATATTCTCAGCAACAACAAAAAACAAAAAACCCCATGGAGTAGTTCTACTCTGTAACACATAGGGTTTCCATGAGTCAGAATCAACTGTATGGTAATAGAGTTTTTTGTCTGTTTGTTTTACTTTTTTTTTTTTTTAATATATAAGGAAAGAGACAAGTTAGGCTATTGCTGGAGAAGATGACTGTGTTGAGGAAGAAGCAGGGTGTGTGAAGGATGAAGGCATATCCGAAGATGTCACTGGACTGTTTAATAGATTTTTCTTCCTTTCTAGGATGAATGTACCCCAGGACTGAATTGCCTCAGCTCAATCACGGCTGCCATAGGGATCATAATCATTGCATTCAGCTTGAGTTCTTTTTCATTCCACCATTTTCCCTGTGATTCTAATCCGATGAGTGAAAACTGTGCAATAAACAGGTCCATCTTAGTGGTGAGTGTTTCCTCTTTTCACGGAGTACTGTAGTGGAAGGAGGTCAAGGGAACTCTGTTTCTGGCAAAAGTAACAATCAGTATTCTTTAGTTGCTACATCATTTTGGGAATTTTGATGCAATTGACAAATAGGGCAATCTTTTTTTTAGGAGTTAGGGCTACATCCCACATCTGTCCTTGTTTATTCTCTATATGTGATCAGGCTAAGTGGGAAAAGAAAGCTCATATTTATTGAACATCTACTTTCTAATAGTTATTGTACTGGGCCCTTTGTATAATTTTATTGTTTAATTTCACAGTTCTGATCAGTATGTACTGTCATTCCCTCCAAAAATGGAGCTCAGATGTCAATCCTTATATGTCTCCAGAGCTTCTTGATTGAGCTTCTGATGGGGTTTCCTGGTTCTCTAACTAAATAAAATTGTCTTGAACATTATCCTAGAAGTGATGAGTAACTTAGGGTAACTCGCAACATCTCTAGATGTTCTTGCATAACTCATCATTTCTATCCCCAACATCCTGGTCCTGGAAAATTCCTAATCTTCATTCTGTATTTTACAACTTTTCTGTCTCACTTGTCCCCATATGGATACTATGCTAAAACTTTATCCTCCTGTACTTGTATGACCCTGTTTTTCTTTGTTACGTTAATCAAGGCATTCCAGAGTAGGGTGGGTCTTAAACCTGATCTTTTCTGAGTGGTCTCTTACACAGGCGAAAACAGAGAGACACACATAGGTGAAAGGCAAGTTCCAGGTGAAGATTCATCTGTAAGCCAAGGAATGCCAAGGAATACCTGGAGCTACCAATAAGGAGGGACTGTCTCCTAGAGCTAATACCCTGATTTGGGCTTCTAACCTCCAAAACTGTGAGACAATGAATCCTCATTCTTTATGGTACTTTTTGTTATGGCAGCACTAACAAAGACAACCACTCATAAAAGATTGCATAGGTAGTAAAACTTCTTGAAGTTTTGGACCATGGGCTAAGTTTGTGTGGGGTGGGTGGATATTGCAGCACAGGATAACAAAGTAAAATGTAACATTAAATGTTTGCTATTTAAAAGTCTCTTGGCCAGTCTTACCACCACTGAGTTTCCTGTAATCATCGCTCCATATAAACGTCTAGCATTCTACCATGCTACTTAGTTCTTTCTCTCCTTTTGTTCTCATTGTGTCTTATTCTCAGCTATATTTGGACCTGAACGTTGTTCCTAATTTATTTTGCAGACCAGTTGCAGTGCCTTTGCTTCTCTCCCAGCTTAACCTGGATGTCTCCAGGACTATATATTCACACCAAAATAACCCCTTTAAGTAACTTTGCTAGAAGAATCTACTCCCCTTAATATTTCTGACAATTCTTTTAGAAGATATTACAATGAATTTTAATGTAACAGTATGAAATATTCATTGATATGATTTTCCATCCCACATTTTTTTTTTAAATTGTGCTTTAGGTGAAAGTTTACAACTCAAGTTAGCTTCTCATACAAAAATTTATGTACACATTGTTATGTGACAGTAATTGCTATCCCTAAAATGTGATAGCTCACTCCCCCTTTCCACTCCAGATTTCCTGTGTCCATTCAGTCAACTCCTATCCCTTTCTGCCTTCTCATCTTGCCTCCAGACAGGAGCTGCCCATTGTGAAAGCACACTTTCACAAGTATCATTTTGTGTCTTATAGTTCAGTCTAATCTTTGAAGAGCTGGCCTTGGGAATGGTTTTAGTTTTGGGCTAACAGAAAGTCTGGGGGCCATGCTTTCTGGGTTTCTTCCAGTCTCAGTCAGACCATTAAATTTGGTCTTTTTACTAGAATTTGAGTTCTGCACCCCACTTTTCTCCTGCTCTGTCAGGGACTCTCTGTTGTGTTCCCTGTCAGGGAGGTTATTGGTGGAAGCCTGGCACCATCTAGTTCTTCTGGTCTCAGGCTGATGGAGTCTCTGGTTTATGTGGCCATTTTGTTTCTTGGGCTAATATTTTCTTTGTGTCTTTGATGTTCTTCATTCTACTTTGCTCCAGGTGGGTTGGGACCAATTGATACATCTTAGATGGCTGCTCACTAGCTTTTAAGACCCCAAACGCCACTCACCAAATTAGGATACAGAACATTTTCTTAATAAACTTTGTCATGCCGATTGGCCTAGATGTTCCCAGATCCCCACCCCTGCTACCTTGTCCCTCAAAGTGTTCATTTGTGTTCAGGAAACCTCTTAGCTTTTGGTTTATTCCAGTTGTGCTGACTTCTCCTGTATTGTGTGTTGTCCTTCCCTTCACCTAAGATAATTCTTGTCTACCATCTAGTTGGTGAATTCTCCTCTCCCTCCCTCCTTGTCCTCCTAACCATCAAAGAATAGTGGTTGCATACAATATTTGTCCTTTTGTGATTGACTAATTTCATTCAGCATAATGTCTTCCAAATTCATCCATGTTATGAGATGTTTTGCAGATTCATCATTGTTCTTTATCATTGCATAGTATTAAACTGTAAATATACCATAATTTGTTTATCCATTTGTCTATTGATGGGCATCTAGGTTGTTTCCATCTTTTTGCTATTGTTAACAGTGTTGCAGTGAACATGGGTATGCATGTATCTATCCATGTGATGGCTCTTATTTCTCTAGGATATATTCCAAGGAGTAGGGTTGCTGGATTGTATGATCTGGCTTTTTAAGGAAGTACCCAATCGGTTTCCAAAGTGGTGGTACCATTTTACATTCCCACCAACAGTGTATATGTGTTCCAGTCTCTCCACTACCTCTCCAACATTTATTATTTTGTGTTTTTTGGATTAATGCTAGCCTTGTTGGGGTGAGATGGTATCTCATTGTAGTTTTCATTTGCATTTCTCTAATGGCTAATGATTGTGAATATTTCCTCATGTATCTGTTAGCTGTCTGAATGTCTTCTTTGGTGAAGTGCCTGTTCATATCCATTGCCCAGGGATCTGATGGGATCTCTGGGAGCTTTGCTTTTCTTTTTTCTTTCTAATTTTTATTTCTTCATTCTTTTCTTTTTTCCTTCTTCTTCTCCTTTTTGTTTTTCTCCATTTCATAGTCTCTCATCTCTCCACTCCAATGCAAGCTCCCCTAGCACTCTTTTTGTTTGTTGGTATGTTTCTGGCTCCTGTTCCTCTCTCCTCTCTCCTTTCCCATAGCCATCTTAGAGCCACACATCACAATCTCCCCCTCCTTCCTGCCTACCCACACCATGCACTAAACATCACGACCCCAAGCAGCACAGGCACAGCTTACCAGAACCTGCCTTGTACTGATTTCTGGCCCGCCCTATAGGCTCTAGTACATGCCACAAACAGCCCATCCCAGGAACTCCCCTTCATCCGGACCTGCCCTGCTCTACCATACTTGAGTGACTGACCCTGCCCATTGGAGAAGGAGGTGAAAAGTATCCTACCCACAGATAAGCAAACAACAAAGAATGCACAGCTCATCTGCTCAGACATAACCAAATAAAACAAAAAAGCATAATGAAACAAACAAATCTACAATCAATAAATGAGATAAATAACTACTGAATGCCCCAAAGACAGTAGACAATATCAAAACATATACAAAAACAGGACAGGATGGTTCCAGTAGGTGTCCAAAATAAAACACCAGATGACTTTCCAGTAGATGAAAAGTCACTAGAACTAACTGACAGGTAATTCAACTCTCCAATATTCAGAATTATCCAAGAGTTAAAGCAAAAAGAAGACAAAAATGAGGAAAAAATAGACAAATTCATGGAAAGGCAGACAAATTCATGGAAAATACAGACAGAAAATGGAAGAATTCAAGAAAATAATACAGGAACAAAATAATAAAATAAATTCACAGCTAGAAATCATACAAAAACAACAATTAGAAATCCAAAAGATAAACAACAAGATTTCAGAAATGGACAGTGTCATAGAAGGGTTGAGGAGTAGGTTTGAAATGGTGGAAGACAGGATCTGTGAAATTGAAGACAAACACTTGGACACAACTCTGTTTGAGGAAAAATCAGAAAAAAGAACGGAGAAAAATGAAGAAACCCTGAGAATTATGTGGGATAAAATCAAAAGGAAAAATATGTGAGTGATCGGAGTTCCAGAACAGGGGGAGAAAATAGAAAACACACAGAGGATCATTGAAGAATTGCTGATAGAAGACTTCCCCAATATCATAAAAGATGAAAAGATGGCCATCCAAGAAGCTCAACGAACCCCATATAAGACAGACCCCCAAAAGAAAATTACCAAGGCATATCATAATCACACTCACTAAAACCAAAGACCAACAAAGAATTCTGAGAGCAGCTCAAGAAAAACAAAAAATCACATACAGAGACTAAGCTTGGATTATTCGGCAGAAACCATGCAGACTAGAAGGCAACGGAATGACATATATAAAACCGTGAAAGAAAAAAATTGCCAGCCAAGAATAATATATCCTCTAAAACTCTCATTCAAATATGTTGATGAAATTAGGATATTTCCAGATAAATAGAAATTAAGGGACTATGTAAAAACCAAACCAAACTTACAAGAATTATTAAAGGGAGTCCTTCGATCTGAGAAAAATAACAGCAGACCACTGGCTGAATGTAGGACACAGGGTTGTACCAGCCAGATACCAACCTAGGGAACGAACTCTCAAGGATTACCCAAAACCAAAAGAATTACAACAGGTAACCAGAGAGGTTAATCTGTAAGTGACACAAGCCTCAGAACAATAAAAGAGAATAAACGGTTTAGGTATAGAACTTCTAATCGGAGGAAGGCAAGGTGATACCGAGTAATAATAGAAGGGTTCAAACATAAGAAGATAAGGGTAAATATCAAGGTAACCACAAAGAAAGTTAACAAATCTACTCAACAAAATAAAGACAAAAAACATAAATTCTCAGTAAAGATAAAAACTACAAGAACAAAAGAAATTTAAAAAAAATCCACAAACAAATGGAATTCAGCAGAGAGAGTAAAACTTGACCTTGTAGACACATATTGAACACTCC